CCCCCGAACCCCCCCTTTTTTTTTGAAAAGAAAATTTTCCCCCCCCCCTTTTGGGGAAAACAAAAACCCTATTGGTTAAAAACAAACCAGAAAAAAGCCCCCAACCCATAAAAGCCCCCCCAAAGGTTGATTTCAAGAAAATTTAAAACCAATTTTTTTTCCCAAGAGTTTTGAAAAAGGACCCCAAACCCCCAAAAAATTTTTCCTTCCAATAAATTAAATTTCCTTTTTTCCCCGCAAAAACTATCTTTGGGGGGTTAAAAAAGTGGGCCCAAAAAAGCCCCCAATTTAACCCACAAAAAATCCCCGCCCAAAAAAGGGGTTTTACCCAATAAAAATTTTTAAAGTGTTTTAAGCTTTCCCACCCTGAAAATCTTCCCCTTTTCCCCATGGCCCCCCATTTTAAAAACCCCCTTTTAAAGGGCCGGGGATCTTTTTTTCCCCTTTTTTTTTCCATTTTTTGAAAAGGGTTTTTGGCAGTTTTTTTTTCCCCCAAAAACTTTTCCCCATTTTTTATCCACCAAACCCCAAAAAAACCCTTTAAAACATGGGAAAACCCCCCAAATACCCCCCATTTTTTAAAAAAGGGGAAAAAGGGTTTTTAAACAAATTTTCCCTTTTTTTTAAAGGGCCCCAAAACAGCCCCCCAATTAGTTTTTTTCCCCCTCAAAGTGAACCCCCCGTTTTGGGGGCTTAATTTTTTAAAAACAAAAATTTTAAAAATTTAAAAACGGGTTTTTCGGGATCCCGGAAAACCTTTTTCCCTTAAAAAATTTTCCCACTCCCCAAAGTTTTTAAGGGGGCCCCCAAAAGTTTTTCCCCCCAAAAAACCAAAACCCCCGCAAAAAAACGGTGAGGGTTAGTTTTTTAAAAAAGGCAACCCTTTTTTATCGGCCCTGGATTTGGGTTTTCCCCCCAAAAATTTTTTCAATAAAAGGGGGAATTGTGTATTTTAGGGGGGTTTTTTGAGTGTTTTTTTCCAAAGGGGGGGGCCCCCTTTTTTCCAAATTCTCTAACCCCGGTTTTAAAAATATTTCCCCTATTTTAAAAATTTTTTCCCTTTATTTTTTCAAAAATTCCCCTTAAAAAATTTTTGAAAAAACCCCCAAAGGGGAATTTTTCCCCTTGGGAAATTCCCCCAAAATTTGGGGGGGCCCCTTTTATGGGCAATTTGCCCATTTCCCCGGCCCCCCCAAAAGATTGTCCCAAATAATTTTTTCAAAATTCCTTCCCCGAAAAGGGTGGAAAAAAAACAAAAATACATTGGAACAGGTTTGGGGGCCAATTTTTTCCTACAAAATTTCCCTTGCCCCATCCTTTCCCCAAAAAAACCTTTCCCCAAGGAGTCGAAAAATTTTTTCCCGTTTTTTTGTTTTTTCAAACAGTCCTTTAAATTCCCCCATCCCCCCCCACCCGGGGTTTTTAAAGGGGGAAAAATTGGCCTTTTCCCTTTTTTCTTATTTTTTGACAAATTTTTTGGAAAAATTCCCCTTTTCGAATTTCCATTTGGGCCCCAAAGGTTTCACAAAGGGGATTTCCCGTTCTTTTCCCTTTCCCCGGGGGGAAAAATCTTTGTGCCCCCCTTCAAAAAAAACTTGATTTTTTGTGAAAATCACCACACCCACCCCTAAACCCGAAAAAATCACTTTTTTCTTTCTAGCCCATTTTTAATAAAGGGGGTTTTCAAAAACACGTGGAAAGGGTGTAAAATATGCCAAAAATTTCCCATAAAACTTCGCAAAAGAAAGCGGGGTTTTCAAAAACCCCTGAGAACAAAGGGGTTTGATCCCCCCTTTTTAATCCTGGCAAAAAAAATTTTAAAGTTCAAGGGGAAAAATTTCCCCCACCCTGTTTTTTTTTAGTTGGGGGGGATTTAATTTTTTTTCCGGACCCCCGGGGGGGTTTTTTTGGGTTTTCCCCTTTTTAAAATTTTTTTTCATGCCCCAAATTAAAATTCCGGGTTTCCCTCTTTATTTTTTCCAAAAAACCATTTCCCCCCTTGAAAAAAAAACCCCGCCCCGCAAAGGGAAACCCAACCCCGGGGGGGGGGGTTTCCCAAAAAAAAAAAATTTTTGGGGGTTTCCCCAAATTTTTCAGGAAAACCCCCTTTTTTCCCCCTTTTTTTTAAAAAGGGTTTTTTTTGTAAAACAAAAAATTTTCCCCCCAAATTTTTTAATTTTTTGGGGAATTTTCCCTTTAAATTTAAAAACCCCCAAATTTTCGTCCCCCAAACTTAGATAAACAAGCTTACTTTTTTTCCCCGGTGGGGCCCATTTTTCGGTTTTTTTATCCTTGAAAAAGTTTTTTTTCTAAAAAAACCGGCCCCATTTAACCCCAAATTTTTTAAAACAAACAGGGGGGAAACCCTTGGGAAAAATTTTTTTAAAAAAATATTTAATAAAAAAAATTTAAACCAATTTTTTTAAAACTTTTTTTATTTTAAAACATTTTTTGGGCCCCCCCTTGGGCCATTTTTTGGTTTAAAAAAAACCAAAACTTTCCCCCCTTGGGCCAAATTTTTTTTTCCCTCAATCCAAATTTTTTTTTTTTTTTGGGAACAATAAAAAAAATTTCCCCAACCCCCGGGGTTTTAATATTTAACCCGGGCATATCTTTATCCTCCGGGGGGGGTTTTAAAAAACATTTTGGAAAAGGGGGGGGTTTTTGTTTTGGGAAAGAAAAAAAATTATTTTTTTTTTCAAAAATTTTTAAATTTTTCCAAAAAGGATAAATTTTTGGGTTCCCCCCGGAATTATGGAAAAAAAATTTTTAACCAAAAATTTAAAAAACGTTTTTTTTTGTGGTTTTGTTTTTTTCCCCTTCCCCAAAAATTTTCCTCCCCCCCTTTTTCCTTTTGGGAACCCCACGAAATTTTTTTCGTATTTATAAGAAAACGGCACCTTTTAAAGGGAACCCCACAAAAAAAAAAGGGGGGGGGCCAATTTCCCCCCCTTAAAAAAACGGGAATAAATTGAAAAAAAGGGTTTTTGGTTTTTCCCCCCACCCCTTTGGGGGTTTAAATGGTTTGGATCATTCCTCCCCTTTTTTTTTCGGGGGGCCCTTCCTTTTAAAAGGAAAATGCCCCCCCCATGCCAAGGACTTGCTAAAAATTTTAAAAAAAACCTTCGGAAGTTTTTCCCTTTTATTTTAAAAAGGGTTTCCGGGGGCCCCGGGAAAGGCCAAAAATTTTCCCCCCAAAAACCCCTTAAGGGAAATTTTTTTTGTTTTTTTTGGAGGGCCTTAAAAACAAAAACGTTTTTGGGAAAGCCCAAAAGCTTTTCTGGTAAAACGAAAATGAGGGGCCAATCTTCCCCCCAAATTTCCCAAATTTGGGTTTTGGGTTTAAGGGTTTTAAATTTTTTTGGGAGGTTTGCCCCCCCCCCCCCCCCCCCCCCTCCTAAAATAAAACCACAAAACTTTACCTGGAATTCACATAGCTCGATTGGTACTTGGTAGTAGATATTGGAGTGAGTACATTTGTAGTAAGTTGTCCCGTTTATGTTACACTGCATCTTTAGATACTCCCTCACCTCCACTATTTGGCAATCTACTGATACATCTGAAGATGGGGGTTTTTACTTATTTATGTTACCCGCTTTATTTGTTTTTATCACAATAATCGTGGAATTTTTAACTAATTTAAAAATTGTATTTTACACAAACCTGGCGCTGAAAGTTGGTTCTCTGATCCCATAGCGACTGTAACGAGGATTATTGCTAGCAGCTTCTTTAATAAGCCCACCATAATTGTCATTATCTCTGTGAAAAAAGTCTTCATTTCATGACCATGAGTCGAGGATCAAGAGGTCTTTTTGTAAAACTAAATTTAAACATTATAGAAGCACTCAAAAACTAAAAAGAAATTCTATATATTCTCTACGTATAAACTTTTTAAAGTAAATGAATGTTGTTACTGTGCTAGATGACTATAATCACACTGATTAATAACGTAGGAGCTTTCTCATTGTCCAATAATTTCAACTTGAACATTATCATTATATAATTGCCGTAGTGAATTGTTGGAACAGAATTTGCCTTTGTTGAAATTTGGAAATCGTACCGTACTGAGGCTAATTACGGTACTAATTAGGGTACTAAGTAACTTAGCCCATGATCTAGCAATGTGTCGGCATTTTATTGAAAATCTTGCTTACAATATACATTTTGTATTGCTGATCAATACTGAACGTTAAATTAACAAGTAAGCCCTTTAGCTTTGGGACGGATGAAATTGCTTTAAAATGACGGGCATTAAAAAATTAGCTCTCTTTGTTTGCATTGGACCCTATTTCTAGTGCGCCGCAAAGGTAAATAATATATAAAATCAAAGATCAATAACCACAGTCCATAAATCACATGGGTTGAACAACAAACTTAACACAAGAAATTAAAGCTTAGCCAAATTCTGCAGCACTGCAACTATATCCGTAGCAGATAAGAATGGGTAATCTAGCGGAGGTGCCTGGATTAAGGATTTATCAAGGTTCTTTTACGTATTGACTACCTGCAAATTTCTCCATGAATGTTGTCGACTAGAGACGACACAAAGGAACTGCAGCGAGAAACTGCCCTACTATTGAAACAACGACTATAACATGACTTCTATTATGTTGAACTAATTCGCAATAAATGGTTTGGATTCGATGAGGATAATAGTTGACTGCCATATATTTCGAAACACTACGTCGTATGTGTATGATGAAAATTTTTAAACATTCGTTCAAAATAAATTAGCAATCCTATGTGTAGTAAATGTGATCAGGAACTTCTGACGAAACGTGCTACTTATTATGCAATTATGTGCTACGAGTATTAGAATGAATACATTTTTCGAAGAACCTTAACACTATTTACACTACGCTAATTAATTCAACAGTCACCACTAGCAAGCCAGCAACTTTTCTCCTTAATAAACATTTCTTATTCTCAATACTAACACCACTCCCACCACTTACCACCACTAACCACTAACCACTAACCACTAACACCCCTTCAGCCAACCAGCAGCAGATAAACGACGATATCACAGCAACAGCCGTCATGTTAATGCAAGTCATCCTATCCTGGGCCCTCTACAGGACAAACCCCAGTGAGCCTAGCAAGGCGGAGCTGAAGAAACTTAGGAAGTCAGTCGTTCAGCTGATTCAGCAGTGTGATGAGCTGATTCAGTTCGGTGTGGCTGGAGTGCAGAAGGAGGCTTTTATCACGGTAATATTACCCGGCTATCGGCATTAGCTTATTTTCCTTTTTTAGTTTTTTCTGTTCATTAAATTAGTTTAATTTTCCATAATTTGCATCATGATATGCCATGATTTCTTACATCAATAAGATACATACCACTTAATGAACCAGCGTTCCCGTTATTTCCAATTAAAGTCTAATTAAAGTCTCCCTCAGGTGTGTGATATGCTGATTATATTTGCTCCACAACTCAAACAAAACCCTAACTACAGTTCTCTGATTGTAGTACCCGATAAATCAGTTCAAATCAGGTATGTACTCTCAACATAATCTAATAATATCGTGTCCTTGTTTTGAGGCGTAGTTTAACCACAAGATTTTATGATTACAGGTTTTATAAATTAATTGGAGAAAAGAAGTCTGACTGCTCTATATGCAAGTCAGATGATACAAACTCCGCAGATTAAAAGTTAACAGAACAAGATTTTATACTAAAGCTACGAATGTATCTTGCTAGTCTAACTTACATTTCTATCGAAACTGTTTTTGGTTGCAATGTTTTAAAGAAAGGTCACGTTTTTAAGGAATGTAAAAACTAAGGTATTCTCGTTCAGGTTGAGGGATTACGTCATGACAACTGTATTCGCTGAAGAAGAACCCCCTCAGTTCCAGGACGACGAGGATGAAGAAGGTGAGATTTTATTGGTGGTTATATGCAACTTTGTGGTTGATCAGTTTGCCTGAATGAAAGTGGAGAAAAGAAGTCTGCCTTGCTTTATATGCAACTCAGATGATACAAGCTCCACAAATGAAGAGTTAGCAGAACATGATAGATACTAAAGCTAAGAATCTATCTTGCTAGTCTAACTTACATTCCCAGGTCAAAACTCAATGCCATTTTTAGACTATGCGCTATAATCAGAAATAATTGTTCATTCCTTTTTTTTATTTAAAGATCTGATAAATAAGTCAAAATTCCCTCAGCTAAGACAGAAGTATTGATCGAAAAACGTCGTGTATTAGCCTCCTTCGGAAAACTCATCGCCTTCAACATCATAGAAATGAGACTTGCAGCCCCCATCTTTGCTCAATACGTAAAATCATACCAGGACTACGGAGATATTGTAAAACAGATGATGTCCAAGGCTCGAGAGCTGAACCGAACCAAATGTATGAGGACACAGCTGCTGAGTTTGGAGCAGTTGTTCGAGGAGTTGAGAGATCAGAACGAAGGCAGGATAGACAGATCATCAGAGGAATGGACCAAGATCAAGGATCTGGCTCATAGGTTCGCCCTTATGGCTGGTGTGGATAACTATAAGTCAAGACAGGCAGTGGTCACGTTCCATAGAGAGGGCATTATTTACTGTCTGTTGCGTAATGGTCCACCAGATGGCAGTCCTCCGTCCAACATTGTCTTCTTCGATATCCTAGCTGAAACAACCTTCAAACTAATGGATATCGACAAGAAGGGACCTAAAGGATTGCTGGCATTCTTGGAGGAGCAGCTTATGAAGGAGGGAGAAATTCCAGAGGATGAGATAGAATGGGGACCGCTCCGAACATACCGTACAGCACTTGTCGGTAGTATGTCAGAACCGTACATGTACTACGGAACTGGAAAACGCAAGATGATGGGCAGTCCTATGAGAGTGATGGAGGTGAAGAGACCGAGGGAGGACTATGTTATTGACAATTGGCAATCAGCCAGTGGATCTGGAAACTATGTTCAATAGTTAACATTTAGACATTCTGTAAATTTCGAGTGATAGAGTACTGTTGATCGAGAGTACTTTGTTCAGAGTTGTTTCCATAAAACGTTACGAAATGTGAGAAAGAAAAGAATTTTCCATGCGGTCAGATATCTAGCACTTCCTGGAATTGCACTAATGTAATTATATCTGTAACGTACAGTGGCTAAGTTAGGATTTGTGCAATATGAAATGCTGTTCATTTGAAAGGAGAACAATTGGGATTGTTTGAACATAACACTTAATTGTAACCAGTGAAATTTGGCGGTTAAGATAGCTGAAAATAACACCCTCTCCTTATTTTCTATAAGTATTTCATTGGCTGGCCATATTATCAAGTAGCAAAACAGGTAATAGTGGAACTGTGCAGTAAGACCAGTATTGGTTTCACTGGCGGATTTGAATATCAGATTTTGGAAATATTGGTAACAGTAAATTTTCACGTTTTATTACGACACCTGCTTTAGTGCTATACATTATTACTAAACCTTATTTATGGCAGTATTTTTATTGAATTTTATTAATTTAAGTTAATGAAACTGTATTATTTGAATAGAAGTTAAATTTAGCTTACAAATATGACTTTTTTACGTTTCATCGATTATTTTAATGAATTCTGTGAAGATCCTACATTCTACCGCCATCACTGTTTTGATACTGTCTTCCCGCCCAAATACACCGTGAATGTAAGCCGCTAATCTGAGATTGTTAGACACCTAACACTATTGTTATCAGTCCTGAGCGCGCGGTACGCACGTACGTACGTACGTACGCGCAGCCGGCTCCTCAAAAGGGCGATTTTAAGGACGGACACTTTAATTTCATTGAAGTTTGAGGATATTGGTAAATATAAGTGACCCTGACTGAATGGCACGAATATGTAAAATGTGTCACACTATGAAATTATATAAACCCTCTATGCCTAGAATAATCGTTTTATCCTCTAGATAAACTTTGTCGCATAACGATATCTTTATCAGACGATAAGATATCGCTTAATATAAGTGCGGTCGGCAGTTAGTTGTAAACTTTGTTACACTATAAAACCGTGACAGGGTTTATATGATTGCCGTGTTTGACCAAATTTTCGAATTTCCAATTCATAGGATAGTTGCATATGACTATTATCTACATATTTAGCGACTTTTTTCGTTAAATGGTAGCACCATGCAAACTCCGTCACACATTAAAGAAATTTATATGAGGGATGTTTATGACATCTTGACAAGAAATGCTGAATAGTCTAGCATTATCTTGTGAGCTGAATGTGTTTGGAATTGTTCGCATATTTCTTTGTGATAGGCAAATACAAATACAGAAGGCAGAAATAGGTAAACTTTGTCACATACATTTGTATGATATCTCAACATGTGTGAAATTGAGTAAATATTAGTATACCAACTTAAACACCCTATATTACGTACTATGGATCAATTAACAATATTTCAACCACACACCGTTCATATAAATTATTATATGGCAGTGTTATGTTAACATTGGCAAAATTTCAACACCTGAACATGGTAAAAATTTGTAAATTTCGTCACAAAAAAAACTCACTTTTGGTGACTGTTCCTCACGAACATTCTGATCCTGCAACATAACAACAAGGAGATCGTCTCCTTAACAAATTGAACAGGTACTATCACAATTTCCAGAGCAGAGCATGATAACAAAGTCAAAAGAAACATAATGAAGGTAGGTTACGAACACCACAATAATGTAACAATCATACTAACAGCTGAATTAAATTTATTCTGACGACTGCACTGGCAGCCCTGATGTGCTCCGTGATCCTTAACGAGCGACCAATTGTAATACTCATGTAATAGAGGTGTTATGTCACTTGACACCGATCCGTCTAATCACAAACAGGAAGAGTAAGCGGATGGATATCGTATGTTTACTATCCTTATCTGTATTTGACCCTCTGTTCAAATTGTTATCTCTACGAAAGCTTGGCTCGGCAAGGTCAGCGTGCTATATCGGCACCGCGGTACACACGCCATGATTACGTCATGAATTAAAAATAGTGTGATCGTTACAATATATAACCGTGCCCACTGCCCACGTGCAATACAAACTGTTGGGGGGGGGGGGGGGGGGGGGGGGGGTTGCTTACGATAGGCTGTGGTCGCTCCTCCAACTGACTGTGGTTCTTACCGTCCAATCATGAACAGAATATTAACATTGTTTAGTTATAGTATGTCTCGGTTGAACTGCGGACATTAGTATTATTAAGTTTTCTGTAATAAGTGGTCGCGATTATGAACTCAGTGGGATTCCAAATGATGAACTGTGCCTTACACCAACTGGAGGCAAAGGAATATATTATATCCATGAGTGCTCCCTAGCTTAACTGGGACGGTAAGTGTTTGAAAACAGAAACTAGGACACGAATTCTCTGACAAGAAATTTATGTTACAGTAGCAGGCACTTGCGGTGTACCGTGTACACAAGGACGGACGTGGTTTTACAGGAAACTTAATAATACTAATGTCCGCAGTTCAACCGAGACATACTATAACTAAACAATGTTAATATTCTGTTCATGATTGGACGGTAAGAACCACAGTCAGTTGGAGGAGCGACCACAGCCTATCGTAAGCAACCCCCCCCCCCCCCCAACAGTTTGTATTGTACGTGGGCAGTAACATCACACTATTTTTAGTTCATGACGTAATCGTGGCGTGTGTACCGCGGTGCCGATATTGCACGCTGACCTTGCCGAGCCAAGCTTTCGTAGAGATAACAATTTGAACAGAGGGTCAAATACAGATAAGGAAAGTAAACATACGATATCCATCCGCTTACTCTTCCTGTTTGTGATTGGACGGATCGGTGTCACGTGACATAACACCTCTATTACAATTGGTCGCTCGTTAAGGATCACGGAGCACATCAGGGCTGCCAGTCGTCAGAATAAATTTAATTCAGCTGTTAGTATGATTGTTATATTATTGTGGTGTTCGTAACCTACCTTCATTGTGTTTCTTTTGACTTTGTTATCATGCTCTGCTCTGGAAATTGTGATATTACCTGTTCAATTTGTTAAGGAGACGATCTCCTTGTTGTTATGTTACAGGATCAGAATGTTCGTGAGGAACAGTCACCAAAAGTGAGTTGCTTACCTGCTGTGTGTTTTCGTACTCTGGTCTTCACTCAAGTTGCAAAGCTGCAATAAGGTATAAACGTATCGCAAAGAACATTTCTATCTGAAAATTGTGTTAGTACCAGTTTGATCAGTTAAGGTGAGGATTGCCTCGCTCTTTCGGTTTCAGCTTAACTCCTTAGGTTATGAGTAGAACCGAAGGATCAAAATATATGTTGCTTGTTGCTCGTATTAACTATAAAACATCAATTTTGAGGGATTGGGAAGTGTTTATAGGTTCTGAAACCTAGTTAAATTGATTTTTCGTGCAATTTTAGGTCAGAAACAGTCATCAAAATGAGTTAATAAGAAGGTCGATTTCTCGGTTATTTTTGAGCTTTCGTTCAGAAAATAATTCGGGACCTTCAAAGGGGGGTAACAAGAAGGCGTTACAAGTGTAACAAGCCTTCGATAATACAAAATTTGCATCACATCTTCAACCTGCTTAATAGAGGCGCCACCTAAAACGTAAACAAACAATAATCACCTCTTTGACCTGCTTAATAGAGGCGCCACTAAAACGTAAACAAACAATGATCACCTCTTTGACCTGCTTAATAGAGGCGCCACTAAAACGTAAACAAACAATGATCACCTCCCCGCCAGTATCCACATCTATAGTCTAAAGAGTTTAAATACCGAGCTATTCTAATATGGAATGTTCATGACGCGAACAACCGGTCCTTTGGGTCCATGCTTAAGATCCACACATAAATTCCACACTAAATCAAAAGTGTGAAACGCACACGAAAAATAGCACACTGTCGGATCCACGTTTCGCATGTTGAGTCCATGAGTCATGGTGTTAGTCCCTCCTTTTCTTTTCTGTCACTGTTGTTGGTACGGTTTGGGCGAGCGAATTAGTAAGAGCCATGCCCATAGGTTACATCTTGATGCAAGCTAGTAAAGCCAATGTATCTTGAATCTTGATGCAAGCAAAAGTGGAATTTATATTTAAAAGCTGCATCACGTCCAGTTCACTAACATTCAGTTCTCTTTAAGTTTAAGTTCTTTGTTTAAGACTCTGGGACGATATTTCAACGAATGGTTGTCTTTTCATGACTCTCGCCCAGACTGTATCCATTTATATTTATTAAGGCATCCGCTCCCTTCTTTGGTTTACTTTACGATAATTATCGTGAACAAAATGAGAGTCTAAGATATTTGGTTGGGGAGGCGGATTATCGTTGTACTTTTGTTCATGTTCATACTACTTTGACCTACCCCTCGATATGCGATTTTGGACACGTTTTCTAAGTCGAATTTTTTTCAAAGTTTTTCTGGAAACTACTTTTGATCATTATGAGCTGAAAATATTTTTCGGTCTTCTGAAGTCCGTACTTACATTCGGAAGGATGTGGTTGTGATTGGTTCCATATACTTATAACTTTATAAAGAACGTGATATTTGGCTTTCGGATTTAAAGGAGAATGCGCAAATTTGGTCCTTAGAATTTCAATTAAAGAAAAATGCACAATTTGTCGCGGAGAATGGGAAAAATCGCAATTCCGCACGTGCCGCGATTTCCTTTTAACCTTGCAGTATAAATTGATTCAAACAACAAATCTTTTTTTGTTTTCATGACGAGATTTATCGTAATATTTAAAGCAAATAAGATTCTAGCTCGATTTCAAAAAAATAACGCACTGAGGATCAAGAACTTGAAAATGGAAAAACAACAAATTTGTCGGCCGTCGGTGCAACAATATGTGCTGTAGCTTTGATTGTTTTGCAAAGATCTCATTTTTAACAGCCACTATAATATAATGGGAGAAAGCTCAGCCTCAGGCGAACAAAGTGATCTTCTCCAAAAGACGGACGATACTTGGACAAGGAAGGATTGGATTCTTCTTTTCTTTGGACCGCTTATCAATATCGGGGATGGCATTGAGACATATTTACCAGGTACTTTTGGGAATTTGAGCTTCATAAGAATGATAACTTTGAAAAAACTGAATTTAACAGATTGAGCAGTTTTTTGTGAACATTACGCTACCATAACCAATTGTCAAGGATTTTGCACGACTTTTAAATTCTGCAGGTGTTTTGACACAATACGTGGCCTGCGAAATTGGAGTTAATGATTGGCAGGAAGGATTTCTGGGCTGCATTCTTTATTTAACATTAGGAATTACTACCTTTGCAGCAGGTCCCTTATCTACTCGGTAAGAGCTTCAGTGTTAATTGTAATAGTTAAATACTGAACTGTGAATGTGAGGACTGGAAGTCCTTCACTCATCTTACCACGGTCAAGATACCTGTACCGTTTATACTATCACTAGGCAACATCATGGTTGTTGATATTGATAAGTTGCTCCTTTTTGGTTGTTCAGAACTGTTCAATTCCCTCAAATTATCCTAATTACAGATTCGGCGGACGAGAAACTCTCCTCCTGTCCCTCTACGGTAGTATAGTGAGCACCATCGTCTGTTC